GGAGACCGCTTCTTGCTCTGTTGACCAAGCTGTTGCCGTTGTGCGATCTGGGCTCACTGCAACCTCTGCCCCCTGGGTTCAAGCAGTTCTCTGCCTCAGCCTCTCGAGTAGCTAGGATGTCAGGTGCAGTGGCACTCCAGCCAGTGCAACAGAGCGAGACTACATCTCAAAAAAAAGAAAAGGAAAAGACAGAGGGAGGCCCAGGCCTGGAGGTCCTGATCCCTCACCCTCAGCAGCCCCTTCCCTGCCCCCTCTCCCCTGTCCTCTCTCTGTGCAGTGGCTGAAGGACCCGGGACCGCGGACGGAGAAGCGGACGCTGTGCTGCGACATGGTGTGCTTCCTGTTCATCACGCCGCTGGCCGCCATCTCAGGCTGGTTGTGCCTGCGCGGGGCTCAGGACCACCTCCGGCTCCACAGCCAGCTGGAGGCCGTGGGTCTCATTGCCCTCACCATTGCCCTCTTCACCATCTATGTCCTCTGGACACTGGTGAGTGGCCAAGACTGTGCAGCATGCATCCAGAGCTCTGCCACCAGGAGTAGCAGGGCCAGGGATTTGGCCCCTGGCTTGTGGGGTATGGGGCTTTCTGGCTGCCTCTTCCTATGGCCCTGGGTGGAAGAGAGCTTCTGAGGTTGCTCTGCGTCTCCGGAAGCTCCAGATTCCAAGTGTGACAAAGGTCTAGGGAATCCCTGAGCCAGGTGTGAGCCTTGACGTGAATGTAGGAACCCCCATCCATGAACCTCCAAGATTAGGAATGGGCAGAGAGGAGCAAAAGGCTGAGAGAGAGACTGGGGGAGAACAAGCTAGTGGGGAAATAGATATTGATTAAGAAATTGAAAGGGAGGATGGGCGCAGTGGCTCCCACCTGTAATCGCAGCACTTTGGGAGGCTGACTCGGGTGGATCACCTGAGGTCAGGAGTTTGATACCAGCCTGACCAAACCCCACCTCTACTAAAAATACAAAAATTAGCCGGGACTGGTGGCACATTGCTGTCATCTCAGCTACTCAGGAGGCTGAGGCAGAAGACTCACTTGAACCTAGGAGGCGGAAGTTGCAGTGAGCCGAGATTGTATCATTGCACTCCAGCCTGGGCAACAGAGAGAGTCTCTATCTCAAAAAAAAGTAAAAAAGAAATTGAAGGGGAAGAGAGAGAGGAACTGAGATTAAAACACTGAGCAAGGCCAGGCTCAGTGGCTGAAACACCTGCAATCCTAGCACATTGGGAGGCCAAGGCAGGAGGATTGCTTGAAGCAAGGAGGTTCAAGACCAGGACTGGGAAACAAAGCAAGATGCCCATCTCTACACAAAATTTAAAAATTAGTGATGGTACACACCTATAGTCCCAGCTACTCTGGAGGCCAGGGTGGGAGGATCACTTGAGGTTAGGAGTTTGAGATTAGCAGGGCAACATAGGGAGAACCCCCATCTCTACAAAAGGAAAATAATTAGCTGGGCATGGTGGCTTACACCTGTAACCCCAATGCTTTAGGAGGTTAAGGTGGGAAAATCCCTTGAGGCCAGGAGTTCAAGACCAGCCTGGACAACATAAAAAGACACCGTGGCTACAAAAAAAATTTTTAAATTAGCTAGGCATGGTGATAAATGTCTGTAGTTGCAGCTACCTGGGAGGCTGAGTCAGGAGGATCACTTGAGCCCAGGAGTTTGAGGCTGCAGTGAACTGTGATCATGCTACTGCACTCCAGCCTGGGTGATAAAGCAAGACCCAGTATCAAAAAAAGAAAAAAGGCCTGGTGCGGTGCCTCCTGCCTATCATCCCAGTATTTTAGGAGGCTGCAGCAGGAGGATTGCCATAGCCCACACGTTCAAGATCAGCATGGGCAACATGGTAAGACCCCATCTCAAAAAATAATAGGGTCAGGTGTGGAGGCTCACACCTGTTATCCCAGCACTTTGGGAGGCCAAGACAGGCAGATTGCTTGATCTCATGAGTTCAAGACCAGCCTGGGCAAAGTGGCAAAATCCCATCTCTACAAAAAATACAAAAGTTAGTTGGCCATGGTGGTGTGTGCCTGCAGTCTCAGCTGCTCCAGAGGCTGAGGTGGGAGGATCACTTGAGCAGTGGAGGCAGAGGCTGCAGTGAGCTGAGACTGCACCACTGCACTTCAGCCTGGGCAACAGAGCCAGACCTTGTCTTGAAGAAGATAATAATATTAATAAAAGAAAAAGGAAAAGAAAAAAAGCGTGGGTGTGTTGGCTCATACCTGTAATCCCAGCACTTTGGGAGGCCATGGTGGGCATATCACTTGAGATCAGGAGTTCAAACCAGCCTGAGCAACATGGCGAAACCCTGTCTCTACTAAAAATACAAAAAATTGGATGGCTGTGGTGGCGCAGTCCTGTAATCCCAGCTACTCGGGAGGCTGAGGCATAAGAATCACTTGTACTTGGGAGGTGGAGGTTACAGTGAGCCAAGATCATGCCACTGCACTCCAGCCTGGGTGCCTGGATGACAGAGTAAGAT